ACACTAAACATTTAAATTTATTCATTAGAGTAAATATTGCATACCGAATGGAATTAATTGATAGGGCCCACTTTTTGAGTAAATGCCGCTAAAATATATTGTTTCCATAGATTCTCGAGAGCCTCTAAAATTATCGATTGATTTCTTTACCCATTGTTTTTTGCGATGCGCTTTTGCTACTTTACATTTAATACTTAATGGGGCGGCATCTTTTGCATATGATTTGTCAATATTTCCAGCCACTCTCGATGTATGGGGACTGATAGTGTACCAGCCAATTTTGCGTTCCACCAGCGTCTTTCTTGTCACACATGATTTATGGGTTCATATGGCGTGTTGGCATCTTTAAGCATGCATTTGATCTATTACGTCTTCATCTTTATCGGAAATTTGTCGGCCGCATGGCTAAGCATCTCCTAACCTACGGTTTGCCCCAATTTCAAAATGAGCGCACCTCAACATTCCTAATGGGGGTTTATTAAATTTAGGTTTCCTTTCTATGGTCATTAGTTGCAATTATTGTTCAGTGATGGGCTTATTCCGTTCATTCTGAGCATTAGCCAGTTGAGCGATATAATTAGCTGTTTATTGTCTTCTTTGTTCGATTGCAAATAGAAATCTGCAGTTGTTCGGCGCAAGAAAATCTCCAAGAATATTGTTTGCGTTTGCTGCAAAACATTTAATCACTTTTCCCTAGACATTCAAAATCTGAACACAAATCTAATGGTTTGTTGGTCTGTTCATTTATTATGTATGGCATGCGAACAATGTGCGACTGGTAGGAGCGACTACTTACGTTGTTGGTTTGACCTGCGGATAATGTTCTCCAAAAAAGTGTTCTGAGGGGCAACCAGCCCCCTGCGACCCCCGGGCATTGTAGCGGAAATTTTGACGGTTTTCACCACTATCACCTTAAGAGTATTGTTTCGGGCATTGCGCGTACCTTCGCAAAATATACCCAGACGAGCGCCAAAATCGGTTCATCTTACCCCCCTTTCTCGTAATCGAGACACTGACCATGCATTTCAATTTCCCAATAATCCCGTTCCGGTGAAAAATCACGTGCATATCTAATGTTGGAAAACTCCCCCTATCAAACGAACATTCTTGGACCAGGTGAATGGAATATTGGGGCGAAAAAAATTCGATATTTTGCCCGCGCGTCAAGTGTTACGTAAACCTGTCACTTCTGGTCTGACCATTATCGGGATCTCTTCCGCTCAAGCCAACCCGGTTTGGCAAAATATGTCAGCGAACTGAAGGGTTGGAAATCAGCCGCTTTTTCAACCCCCTTGCCGCTGTTGCCGCATTTTCAAACACACATTTCTTCAAGCCTGGCATTTTCGGCTTACAATGGTGTTGATTGGTTCGTCTTCTAATCGTCTCGCTTTCTTCATTTACTTCTCTCAATTCTTCATCGTTTGAAATTACAGAATAATTTTTTCTCGTTTGTAGGAGCCTTCACGCGCTTCTAATGAAAACTTACTTTGCTTCTTTAACGCGTTCTGAAGCTATTGCACGCAATTTTCAAAAGCGGAGAAGTTTACCCGGAGATACGGAGAGAATGTACTCATCCTAACTTTTCTGATTGTTTGAATGGTAAGAGCAAATGAAGGCTGTTAATGCGCAAAATACTTCATACTGCTGGCCAGACGGCTACTGAAAATGCATTAAATTATTTTTAATTATATGGTATATCCAATGATCCTACTTGTATAGCAAACTATTTTGCAGATTTTTTTGGCTCAGTCTACAGGTTACTGATACAGCTCAGGCTACTGATAATATTATTGTACCTGGGTTTGACTGTAATACCACTGTGGAATTTAATAATTGTATAGTTACTGAACGTGAAGTATTTAATGAACTGTGTAAACTGAAAAAGTTTATTAGTGCAGGGGCAGATGGTATACCTTCGACTATTTTAAACCAATGTAGATGTTCCCTGAGTGCACCGTGGACTTTCTTGTTTAATCTGTCCTTAAAAACATGTATGTATCCCGACTTGTGGAAACATAACCTGATTGGACCTTTGTTCAGGAATGGTGATAAAACCAATATTAAAAATTATAGACCTATAGCTAAGATTTCATTGATACCAACTGTTTGATAAAATTATCACTTCAAAGTTTACACCTTTCTTTGAACATTTAATTATCGATGAACAGCATGGTTTTTGTAGAGGAAAATCAACCGTGACCAATTTGGCTGTGTATTCTGAGGACTTGTTAAATGTCATGGGGAGTCATGAGCAGATTGATGCAGTTTATACTGACTTCTCGAAGGCGTTCGACAGAGTACCTCACAAAATTTTGATATTCAAGATGAAAGCTTTGGGACTTGGCGACAATTTATGTTAATGGTTGGAAGTTACCTTCTTAATAGAACTCACACAGTCATCTTGAATAATCAACACAAATCTAAAAAAAAATCTGTTACCTCTGGTGTACCACAGGGTGGACATCTGTCCCCTTTGCTATTCAATTGCTATGTCAATGTTATATGTGTTAATGTAAAATATTGTAAGTTTTTATTATTCGCTGATGATTTAAAGCTTTATTCAATAATAACCTGTACTGATGATTGTTTAAATGTACTAGCTGATTTAAATGCTCTGAATAACTGGTGTGAAGTAAATTTTATGCAATTGAACATCTCTAAGTGCAAGGTTATGCGGTTCTCCCGTCTAAAACAGGTAATTTTATTTCCATATATGATAAAACAAGTTGAAGTGGAATCCGTGAATTGTATAAAGAATTTGGGTGTGTACTTTGATGCTAAGATTTCATTTAATTACCACATTGATATTACCAAAAATAGAGCCTTAAAAATGTTGGGATATGTTAAACGAACAACTAAAGACTTCAGAAGTGTTAATTGTATAAAAGTGGTGTATATGTCTTGGGTCAGGAGTATCTTGGAGTATGCCAATATTGTATGGTCGCCTAGTTATCATGTACATATAAATAAGATAGAAAGTATTCAAAATAAATTTCTAAGATACTGCACCTACAAGGCATCTATACCTTTAGATGATTTGGTTTACCAACAATTACGACATCAATTAGAAATTCAAACGCTTGAACATAGAAGATTGGAAAGTGAAATTATATTTTTATTTAAATTAATTAACTACTATATAAATTGCCCTTATTTGCTCAGTAAATTGAATTTCCATGTTCCTAAGAGAACGGTCAGAAGTCAATCTATATTTTACTTGGCAACTCATAACACCAATTACAGTCACTTTATGATTATCGACAGAGTATGCAGGACTGCTAACAATTTAGATTTTTCATTTTTTAATATTTCTTTGGCAGCATTTAAGTCCGAACTAAAGCTGAAGGCACCCATGTAATTTATTTATTGATTATTTATTTGTTATTGTTATATGTTAATTTTTATTGTATTTTAATATTTTTATACGCATTGTATAATTCGCCATGGATTTTTTCCGTTTAATAAATTTGAATTTCAATTTGAATTTTCAATAATTTGCCAAGTTACCATCAAGCGGCTTAGTGAACTGACAATAGCGCGACCAAGTTTTAAAATTTTCTTAAAGTTTTAATTTTTACTTCGATTTCTAAAGCAAAGCAAATATTGCAAATTTCTTCTTCAGCTAAATCAGCGAGATATTTTCACATTTGCGTTAGCAATTGTGTCAATTCACTATTTTTTCCTGACATTGGCAACATCGCAAAGCAAGGTGAAAAGGAAAATCGAACAGTACTAGTGGCGCTCTCAGATCGTGCGGTGCCGTTTTCCGCAACTTGCAGGATTGGAATTTTCAACTAGGACACCAAAACAAACACATCAACCTTTTCTTTTATTATTCTTGATTTATATTTTATGTTTGACCGGTTTTCCGCCGGTCTTAATTCCCTTAGTCTGCAAATCGCGCGATCGTTAATTTTAAGCGATTCCAATCTCGCATTGATCGCAATATTTGGCACTGAATCGTGAAAAGCCGGGATAAAAACATTTGCATTTACTTGTACATAACAAATGTATTTTGTGTAATTTTTTCCTCCTTCGCTGTTTCAGCATTAAAAGATAATTAATACTTTTGGTCGGATAACTTGTTGAACAAGCAACACAGAACGTATATAAATAGTATTAACCCCGAAAAAAACATCCGAAAGGCTCTAGTTAGAGCCTTGACTAGGTTAGAGCCTTGACTATGCAAAAAACGATTCAAATTTCAAAATTTCTGGATCTATTGTAACGTCAAAAAATCAATTTAAAGGCGAATGAAACTGAAAATCGCCCAAAATCTCCGCATTGTGTCCCCTGTGGTCGATGTTTGGACTCACTTTTCACCTTCTAGGAAGGAAGTCGCAGATATCCGTTAAACCTATTTCAAAACGCCGTTTGATGCAAACGGCCTGAATCAGATGGCGCGCTATGAGCTGATTTGCACCGCTTATTGCTGCTAATAAAATGGGGTAATCGACCTGGCTCGCATTGGCCGTTATTTCTATGCGATACATTTTTCGGATTGCTGTTTATTCCGCCGAATTAATACCGATTTGGCAAATTCCGGAAAAAATATCACTGACTTGGCACTCATTGTTTGGTTTCCAGGAACGGTGACTAAAAATTGGAATTTTCTTACGCAGTAAGAAAATTCGAAATCGAAGAAAATGGGGGCAACAGAGCCCTAAAAATATCTGCGGCCGATCATCTGCCGATATACGCAGGTTGAGGCGTCAAGAGGTTTACTACTGATCGCAATAATCCATTGCACCGGCTTTACTAAATATTAATTCCTGATAAACACGCAGCTGGAATATTCTGGCATCAATGTATGATACCCAGTAGAACTCAAACATCAAAATAAATAGGACGTAAATAATAAATCAGAATAGATATCGACATGCGCTCTTGCAGCTCCAAAGGGCCATTGGTGAACATCCTGCAGTCAGTCGATATCCGTTGAGTTATCAAACATTTAAATTCAAATCGATCCAAAAATGTGCATGCAAATACCAAACATTTTACTGTTGCCTTGTTATTTCAAAACCTTTTTAGACAAATCGACTATTCTCAGAATTCAGACATTTGCAAAAAAACTACATCTTAAATAGAGCAACAGTGCAACTTCGCAGCACTTGGATGAAAGCTCTGCTTGCCATGAAACTGCTACACCTCATGTGCTAATTATAACGGTTATTTAAATTGTTCACCTAACAAAGTTTTTTACGTTACGGCATTATTTTTCTACGTTAAATGTTCCCGGTAATAAACCAGCCAGGAACAGTTAGTTAATAATAAAAAGGGCAATAAGAGGCTTGAACGAAATGGAAAATTTGGCGGCGCGGGGGAGGTGCAGAGTCCCCCGGAGACAAAAGGGTGGCGGCCTCCTTCCAGGGATATATTACAGCCCTAAAACGACGGGCGAGGATGAGAATCAACTCTATTTGTACATATTTGTTCCAAAACAAAAACCAAATGACAGTTACTGGCAACTTTCGCCGCACTTTTTCATCCGAATCACACGATTATGTTGGTGAAATAAAGTGGACACAATCTTAATGTATGAATAAAAGTATATTGATAAATGATAAAGAACAACACAGTACAAAAGTAGATTTCCGAACACGAGAACGATTCTGCATCAGCAGCGATTTGACGACGACTAACTAAAAAGGTTGCTCTCGCGATAAACAAAAAATTATGCTGCCTAAGCAATATGGCTTTGTGGTACTCTATGGTCCATAATATATATGGCTGGACTTGTATTTATAATATTAAAAGCATTTTGATTATAGTCTTATTCTAACATTCCCTCTTAATCTATATGCTATTTAATATAAATCAATTTAATCAAACATTAAACACAATTTTCTGCAAAGGTTTAATTCTTTTATGGTGTTTATAGCCTTTTGCCACAAGGCGTGCTTTGTAACGCGATATGTCACCATTCGAATTTGTTTTCACTCGATACACTCACTTATTGTCTATCACTGGATGATCCTTTGAATCAGGAAATGATTCATTTCCTGCTTCATTGCTTCTGTCCATTCTTCATTTTCGTTTGACTGGATTGCTGTTTGGTATGATTCTGGAGTTAAAATCGAACAATATATGGCTGGTCCATAGTAATCAGGTTGCTTTAAAAGGTTTCGTTGACGTAGTTGTATCCTGTCGTCTTCTTCGTTATTTTAATTTTTGGTCTCTAGATCTGGATCATTTTCTTCGTCATTGATTTCAGGAACCACATTTTCATCAAGTTGGC